AACTTCCTGTATATATTATCTGTTTTGTACAAATTATGTATAATGCTGTTATTTAAAATAAATATGTTTATTGTAATGAATTGTAAATTTAATTTTTTAATGGAAATTAATAAATGAATTAAGATTATGTGTTTTTTCTTTAATGAACGTTTTAAAAATAGTCGATATGTAAAGAATAACATTAAAATTAATAAAAATAAACAGTCGTAGCAATTTCTATTAACTTTGGTAGTGTCAGCGCCATCAAGCGGCTTAGGGCTGAACTATGTTGAGAAGAAGAACGAAAATTGCGATAAAGTTGATCCCGCGCTAAAAGTGTGAGCCGTGATAAAAGACCTTATGCGACTTATGCTCTCCTAATACAAATGTTCGAATTTATGAAAATTTTCAGTTTTTGGGCATATACGAGGTCTGATCAACAAATAATTGCAGAAACAAATTTCGAAAATGCAAGTGTTAATATAATTCGTTGTTCGATTATTTGTTAAACAGACCTCGTACATGCCTAGAATATGAAAATTTTCGTGAATTCGAACATTTGTATTAGGAGAGCATAAGTCGCATAAGGTCTTTTAACACGGCTAAAACTTTTAGCGCGGGATCAATTTTATATAGTTCTTTACCTTTTGCTACTTAATAAAGTTTAGCTACTGAGCGTATGAGGGCGCTGCTAACGCCAAAATTATATAAGTTTCAGGTCAAGAATCATATTTATCAGCAAATTATATCATTTTTCTTGAAAATAAAACGCCGCTTAAAATAAAATGCACTTTATTTCCTAATTCTATTACACATCACTTGCAATTTAAATGAATTTGTTCAGTTAAAGTTTCAAAATAATAGTTTTTATATAAACACCAATAGGTAGTTAAATACTGTTTTATTAAAAGAAAAGCTTTTACACTTCATTTCTGACAAAAGAACAAATTACATTAACAATTTTTACACATTTTAAATTATTTGCAATTTACAAACTGTTGTATTAATATTTAAATACAGGATTTGGGGGGAAAAAGCCCACCAAACCCTCTGTGGCCTCCACATCTCCCCTTATAGCCACCCTATCCACCCAAATGAGTATTAATTATGAAAGTATTAATAAATATTTAATTTAGTTTTAACAGTTATGCCAAAAAATTAATTTAGAAAAGTTTTACCACCTATCAAGTTACAATTATATTGATACAACAATTTAAAATAAACAACAAAATACCTGTAAGAGACAAAGCCATGAGTATAAACGAATTTTCAAAGCAAATACAATAAATATCAAGTTACAATTATATTGATACAACAGTTTAAAATAAATATCAAAATACCTGTAAGAGAAACAGACAAGAAAACAAATGAAATTTCAAAGCAAATACAATAAATATCAAGTTACAATTACATTGATACAACAGTTTCAAATAAATAGCAAAATACCTGTCAGAGAAAGACAAGAAAGCAAATACAATAAATATCAAAAAAACGATGTCTTCATTCTTCTTAGGAAATACCTCAATATCTGAAAGCAAATAGTGCAATTAACAGGACTAACGGCAAATACTAATAGATTTGGTAGAGAAGATCGGACAGATTTCGCCAAGGCAAGCTGGGCAGTCGCCTATTGCTCCTATTCCAGATAACCCACTGTACCCTGTCTGAAAGGAAGTAACGCTAGAGTAGACTCGCGAAAAGTGTATAAGACACTTTTAAGATCAACTAAATAGCTAAGCCCAAGGGAAGTCGTTCGGGGAGGCCCTCCCTAATTCCACAAGGGTGAGAAGAAACACACACGATAACGAAACGTTGAATCATGTAGAACTCGTAGGGTAAATGCAAAGCAATTTATAGTAAGAATATGCAGTAAGCTAAGCGAAGAGGTAAGCAAGAGACATGTTAGACTACTCTACAAAAAAAGTGAACATGTTAGTACTAAGAACTACTTCAAAAAATAAAAACATTGTAATCAAAAATGAATTCAAATAAAGTAAACTAAAATAAACATGCAAAAAATTAAAATTGACTCAAATAAAATAAACTACAAAAAAATAAGCAAACTAAAAATAAAAAACATGCAAAATAAGAGCTTGATTATAATAGGGCAAAAAATATTCTAACTACGGGATCTTCTTTGTCTTCTCCACCGTCGATCTGAAACAGATAGGGTGGTAACAGATTAATAAAGAGCAATTAGTATAAATTATATCATATATTCTCACCTTAATGTGAGTGCAGAGCAAGGCCAAAATGACGTGATGTTAGTGGTTTCCAAATAAATTTCCAGGTGTTTTCTTTCATTGGTCCAAAATTAACTGCCTGATGAAGCAATGTGAAGATGACAACAGCAAACCAAAATAAGCAAATATGATACCATTGTAGGCGACATTGGCAGCATCAAAATTAATTTCAGTTTTCTCGCATTTGTTGGGCAATCTACAGAAATAAACAGAGAAAATGAATTAACCACACATGACATAAAATAAAAGTACACCTAAAAGCAATAAATAGTAAAAGTAAAAAAATACTATGATGACCTGGTGCCTTTGACTTTATTATAAACTTAGATACAGGTAAATGGAATAAATAATAGATAACACACATTTTACAATTTATAAGCAAAATAAACATTCTCATGTTCAACTGTTAATTATAATCAGTATAATTAGTTTTAATTCATTTAATCATGTATTCTTACCTTAACTAACTGTAGAATGTAATTCTTCAAATTTGCAAGTGCGAGAGAAAGCCGTAACCAGGAAGAAAGATTCAATGCAGATGATTTGTTGTTTCAGTGGGGTCCAAATAACTTCCAGTTGCTCACACTAATCCATCAAAAATCAGCCGCATGTGAGGTAAAGATGCCAACAGTAAATCGAAAGTTAAGTATGTACAGGCAAAACAATAGGTACCATTGTAGTCATTTCAGTAGTTCATTTGTTGGCCAATCTGTAGAAATTGATAAGAAACACGAATTAATTAATTAGATTAAAACGCCATTAAAATTAAAATGATGTGTTATTTTTAATTAATATTGTTACTAACCAATTTTTGTCATAAAGCATTTCTTTAGTTACAGCAACAGTCTGCCTCAGCTTCCAGCTGAAAATGGTACTCTTTTATGCTTCCTTCAGGTAACACTACATCCAGAAGTGAAAGAGGATTGATATGAAGAAACTTCGTGAACACATGGCATTTTGAGCTTCTATAATATTCCTGTAAAATGAAAGAGTATTAAGATGTAATTAATTCCACTATTAATTTGCAGTACAATAAAGCTTATTTTATGAAAAAATGAACTCGTTAAATTGAAACTAAAAGACTTGAGAGCAAACCATCTTGCATGTATGAGCCAGACACCACAATGATCTGGTACCCGACTAGCATTCAGGCTGCCTCGAATTTGCGATTGCTACCACATGAAGCACCGATGACGTAAATAATGTTACGCAGAAGCATCATTTTGGATTTCTGCGTTGGTTCGCGGCAAATATTTTGTAATTGAACCAATAGCGTAGCGATTTTCAGTCCCACTTTTATAAAATTGAAATTAAGCAAGTTTTGCTTCGTGCAAGTTCCATCGCCTGATCACTACTCTAAAGAGAATGTAATACAAGGGCGAGAGATAAGGTCAAATCTTAGATGAGACAGCGTTAGCCATAAACATGATTACACAATATGATTATATTTCGATAACCTTCTTTAGATATATATTCACATGAATTACCCCTAAGCTTAAAATTGACGTATTTTTTTATTAACTTATATGTTACTTATTTTTTTATGTTTTCGTTACAATTACAATTCATATACATTTAAAATTGGTTTAAACATGTAAATCTGACTGATTAGCAGGTAAGCGTTTTCATTGCTGTAGCAATCTTTGAATAAATGGAAAAACGCAATGGCCGACAAAAGTAACAATGCGACAACAATTGATAGAGTATAATGGCCGCCAACAGCAACAATTGATAAAGTATGATGGCTGACAACACTAACAAAGCGACAACAATTGATAAAGCATGATGGCCGACAACCCCAATTCCAAAGCACATTACCGAAATTACTAAATGTAGAAATATAATACACTAACTTGAGCAGTTGCATACACTAAGAAAACATTGTTCGTATTTCATCCCTTTGCAGATAAAATGGTTGTAAAACTGCCGTATCAAAATTCGAATTACGGACACGAAGATTTATACTAGGTCAATTACAAATTACCAATTAAAAATTTATGAATGTATATTACATACGATTTGCTAAAAATTATGCAAAAAAAATGTTTTCTCCTTTTACCTAATCTTTTGGTTTTTATACTAAAGTTAAAATACCAATAATTCAGTCAATAATTACAATAGTACTTCAATTTTAAAGTTTTAGCTAGATATAATAATATCATAACATAATCAGGACTGCTTAATTACAATTTGATGCATTTGCAAATAATATAAAATTAATTTGTTAAAAAAACTTTGTTATTTTAATCTACCCCTTACTCTTATGACTCCCACAAGATTAACATACAGATAATTTAAGCTCAAAATAGTAGAAAATATGATAACAAAATATTGAAAAAGCAAGGATTATTGGAAAGACACAAGCTTTTATTATAAGTTCAACATTATATAAAATGATGAATGACAGTTGCTCAGATTGGCCATTGAAGGTATTAGAAGCGTAAATAGGGGACAAAGAGAACTTCCATGAATGCCTTCTAATTCTTTAATTGCTAAGAGCTTAAAAAATTCTAAATTCTTTGGAAATGGATAATCTAAAATACTGAATCGATATTGTTTTCCGGGTTCAATGTCATGGTCCATGGAATTTTGAAGTTCCAAATTGATATCAGCACCCACCAATTCATCACTTATCGTACCTTTAGTAAGCAACTACGAAATTCAATGAATTACGAAAAAACAGCCCGCAAAACAATATCGAATTGATATACGCCAGCTGTGTAAAACTGACAACTACAAGATATTGTGATGTGCTAATAAATGCCTCTAATCCACAATTCTTAGAAAACGATTTGAAAAACTTCACTTATTCTATGAACCCAAAGCTACAGAAACTAAGGATTCCATTTCTTTCTCTTATTACAATGTGAAAAATATCAGAAACAATATGGGTTTGAAAATATTTTGATATAAAATGATTGATGTTGATTTAACATCAATAAAATTATTTGCAATCCTATTTTGGCTCTAATCTCTCACGCCAAGAAACAATTTTGAATATAATAATATCAACTGAAATACCTAGTAAAGTCATTTCTGCTGGGATTTGATTTTTACAAATTCAGGTCCAAATTGTAATTTTTATTATTTTCGTTATGAAGCAACGTGCTAGAAGGATAAACTGTAAATATTTAGATTAATTTTCGTTTTTCATTTTGCACGCGCATTTTGAAAAAAAGAATTAACCCTGGAGCCACCACTATCTGGATCTATCTCGATCATGATACGGCAATGGCCGTGATATTTTTAGGCGAATAATGTAAACGACCGTCGTTATTAACAAACATATGGTTTATTGATATTATTTAAAGAACTGATTTGTTTTCACGACGTTAAGGCACCCTAAATTGGAATTAAGCTACTTAAAATCGGATGTATATAAAATGGCGATTGGCTTTTTGGAAGATGTCATGGTTATCTGTCCAATGTGTGGTATAAAAATATTTAGAGAAAATTTATTAGGTAAAAATGAGGAAAAGTAAAATATATACTTATGTTACGGGTAAATGGGTACCTACTAGACACTATTAAATTAGATTAAATTAAAAGTAAAAATATGAAGATTTAACTAGTACAGAATAATTTTTGTACATATAAAACCGACGTTCATAAGTAACGAAATGATTCCACATTTTCTATGTCAAATATAAATAAAAATCATAATTATTGCAAACTATTACAGATTTATGGAATGAGAAATTTTATCCTTGACAACTGAAATTACAAAAAAACACAAAATAATACGTTAGTATCATTTAATTCTACAGAAATTAAATCAATTACTTAATCAACCGTTTCAATTAAATAAACAAAAAACACTCACCATTATTACGGCAAAAAACCGTTCAACGACTTTTTTCCAACATTGGCCCTCTAACAAATCTCCTCCGACTCTGGAATGGAAAATCAAAAGTAGTTCCAACAAAATCAAACCCCTTTGTAATCAAATTTCGATATTTTGTATTTGTATAATTCTAAAGATCTATTCCGGCAGAATTTTTATTTATGGTTAAATGAGAATAGATTTTATACTAATCCAAGGTTAAACCTATTTAATGGGAGTGGTGGAGAAAAAGAGGGTTCTGTGGGATTAAAATTTAAATTATTTTGTTTTTAAAAAGGAATATTTAACAGGTAATCTTACATACTTTCATATTTCACTATTTTTAGAAATAAATTTTGACGGTAGAATCAAGGGCAATCTTCGATAATTTGTAAAATTAATTTCTACTTAACGTTTTTATAAGTTACGAATCTTTTGTAATACAAAAAAAGAAATAAGTTGAACATCGACACACATCCATTTTCATTTCGGATTATAGCACAGCAGGTCTGTTGGAAATTAAGCTACTTAAAATCGGATGTATATAAAGTGGCGATTGGCTTTCTGGAAGATGTCATGGTTATATTTCCAATGTGTAGTATAAAAATTTTTAGAAAACCTATATAAAGTGGTGCTCGTCTATCAACCCAAACAAATTCTTAGAAAACCTGACTTATTTGATGAACCTAAAGCTAAAGTAACTAACGATTCCATTTCTTTCTCTAATTACAATGTGTAAAAGATCAGAAACCAAATGGGGTTGTAAATATTTTGAAATAAAATGATTGATGTTGATTTTACATCAATAAAATTATCAACCCTGCTTTGGCTCTGATCGTTCACGCTAAACAATCTTTTTTGACATCAGTGTGTTTTTCCCAATTAAAACGGGTGACAAGGGCAAATAAAGTAGCATAACTACAGAAGAAACTATTCCTGAACCGAAGAAACTATAACATAAAGATAGAAAAACCATATCTTAATCACTTCATACAGAAAAATGTAAATCAAACTTAATCTTCGCAGCTGTTGATGTAGTGCAAACAACCACTATTAGTACAGAAAAACTCCAAAATTAAAATATGAGCAAATGCCTGCAAGGTTTTCTTAAAAAGTATTTTATANTGAAATAACAAATCAAAAAAGTATTTTCATTTAGTATTTAAATACTTTTAAAATACCATTTTGCACATCTCTGTACAATACCGAATCAGGGTCAATGTGACGGGAACAAAAGTTTGATATTAAAATACTTTTAAAATACCATTTTTCCCACATTTCTGGATGCTACAGGCTTCTCACGTTGAAAGTTTCCGCCTGTCTAGTCACTGCTGAAGCTTTCGATTAAAGAGAGCGAGTATTCGGAAAATAAAGGACAGAAAAAGCGCTCAGCGTCTAGGAATGAGCAAAACATTTTCAATTTTGAACAAAATACAAAACCCTATTTTAATGTTTAAACATTATACAGAAGCAGTGATTCGGAGAACGAAGACGATTTTTTTACCATTCTAACTATTTAAATCAGTTCGACAAAATTTTTATTTACGATTAAATAAGAATAGATTTTATACTAATCCAATGTAAAACCTATTCAATGACAGCGGTGGAGAAAAGAAGGGTTCTACGGGCTTAAAATGTAAATTATCTTGTTTTTAAAAAGGAAAATTTGATAAGTAATCTTACAGCTTTTACATTTCACTATTTTTACACTTCCTACAGAAAATGGGCTTCATTATATGACTAAAAGCATAGTTTTAAAATAATAAAAAGAAAACATAGTTTCATTCAAATTTTCTTTACAATTCTCTGCAAAAATACTTATCGCGTTTTGTAATATTTTCATTGATAACGAAAGATAGAAGCAATTAATTTTTTAATGTATTGTAGTGGGTAGATTTGATTTTCTAATAAATCAATAATTATGCTTCGTTAAGAATCAAAATACTAGATATTGATACAACGGAAACTTTTAGAATTAAATTTTTAGTAATGTATGTAGTGAGGCTGATTTTCTCGAGAATGTGTACCTAACAACCCCCTACTTTATTGTGCACCAATATTATCAACCATTTCTATTAGGAAAATGAAAGGAAAGAAAAGTATTGAAAATTTACAGAAATAAAAAAAAATAAAAAATGTTATTTAGTTGTTAAGTTTACCATTCACAATCCGGCCGGACTACTTTAGATAACTTTCAATTTTTCTATAAGTTACTATATACATTTCACAGAAATCTATTAATAAATACCTAATTTGCTAAAAGAAATTAAATATTGTACACTTTGGTACATTTAGTATGATCATTTAACAGTCAAGAAATACAGATTAGAATACAAGCAAGTAATTTTATAGATAAAATTGGTCATTTCTGAAAATAATAATAAAAAGTAGTTTTTTACTATACCCTTCACCGAAAGTAGAATGTTTTTCTATAATTTCAAGGAAGAAAACGTAATATTTCTGTGGATCGATTAGCAATTTTCACGTGGAGAGTAGTAAATGACTTTCTTCATGAACAATAAACGCGATTGCTTACCTAGGAGAATTTTTGTAGCCCTTTCGTCTACAAAAATAATTAAAAATCATCGTATTTTCGGTAGAGGTATGATAAAATAAATCATAAGCGGGCTTCGGGAAGGCCGGGATTACAAAATTCGTACTACTTACACTGTATCATGACAAATTAAAAATAAAATACCTGTCACGTCACGCCCAATATGGTATTTCAATCAACAGGATGAAAGTTGTATTAAATAAGATATATGTTATTGATTTCATACATTAAGTAACAACTCTTAGTTTTATAAGATAAATAAAAAATTTTTTGTATTTGGGAGTGCTACGTTTTTTTAAATTCTACGATTAAATGCTAATTTGATAACTAATTAAACAAAATTTTAAAGAAATAAAACAAAAGAGATATGCAATTTCTACTAATCTCATTTAATTACTTATTAGAGAGGGCAGAAAGAACTTACGAGAGAACTGAAGTGAAAAGCATAACATGCAACTCCTATACAAATAGTTTGCTAAATTTATATTTATAGCTATTTAAAAGTATTAAAATGGAGAACAAAGGGCGCTACGTAAACCAAAAAGAAAGTGGAGAGATAGGACGGTAGTTCACCTTCCAGTTACATTTTGAAGAAATATTTTATAGAAAACAATCGTCAAGTATTGTAATAAATTTTGATTTTTACGATTAAAAAGTGCGAAAAACACTGATTAAAACGCCTAGACACTAGCACCTCTAGGACCTTCTAATAGATAGGTGTATCCAAAAATCAAAAACATGAAGATTTTTTATACATGTATATAGAATAGAATGCACTATAATTATGATTTCGAATAAATTTGTAGAAGAATGTTTTAAATTAGCAAATAGCGTTGCTTTTTTTGTACAGAATAATTTTTGTACATATAAAACCGACGTTCATAAGTAACGAAATGATTCCACATTTTCTATGTCAAATATAAATAAAAATCATAATTATTGCAAACTATTACAGATTTATGGAATGAGAAATTTTATCCTTGACAACTGAAATTACAAAAAAACACAAAATAATACGTTAGTATCATTTAATTCTACAGAAATTAAATCAATTACTTAATCAACCGTTTCAATTAANAATAAAATTTTTGAAATAAATACTACTATTGCAAGAATTAAAATAATTTGTAAACGAGGAATATTTAGACAATAAAATAAATTATACAAAATTTGATACCCTGAAAACAGATTAAATATTATTTTCCACTCCTGTTAGGCATTAAGACAAAGTAGCCTATATTAACAAATTATTCCAATTGAAATGCAAAACAACTCACCATATGAAATAGAAGTAACTCAAAATACATAATGAGTGACACTCCTGCATTCAGTTTTTATTAAGTCGTAAACATAATATTTAGAAAATAAAATCATCTAATTTCCACGAAAAATCTATAACCGCTCGCGTAGCGTACTCCTTTCGATCTACATGGCCCACAACTAATCGTAATAATAAGCTGCTGTAGTTGTTAATAACAAAAGAATGCAGGCGTCATTGCCAACATAACTACGTAGTAGGTATTCATTTTAAATTATTATTTTCAAGTGGAAGTTTTTCATAGTAATTTATTGTACCCTAGCTCTACAAATAATACAGGGTAGGCTTATGCCTTTGAAATAATTTGTCAAAAAGTCTACATTTACAGGGTGAAAAACCAGTCAATTTTAAATTATTACATTTCAGAAAATGTTTCTTTTGTACTAGAGTCATTTATAGTAGGATTATGCCTGTGAGATAATTCGTCAGTGGGTTTAAGGGTTATTTATGGGGTGATAAACCCCGCAATATCAAATTATTATTTTCTACTGGAAGTTTTTCTTGTCCCAAAATAATTTTCTGTATCTGAGCTGCAAGGGTCCTTTAAAGTTGGCCTATACCTTTAAGATATAATTTGTCAGCGAGTCTAAGGGTTATTCACAGGGTGCTTAACTCCGCAATATCAAATTATTATTTTCCTGTGGATGTTTTTCGTGTCCCAAAATAATTTTTTGTATTTAAGCTGTAAGGTCCTTTAAAGTTGGCGTTTGACTATAACAATTTGTCAGCGGGTCTAACAGTAATTTATAGGTTTACATTGTTTTCTATACAATATTACACTCTATATAGCGTCACGCTCACTCTATTTAACGACAACAATGCGGCATTATAAATCATTGAGCAGTACTTTCTAAGTTGCCGAAATAGATAAGAACTGCAGCTGTGTACGTTGTTGAAGAAGACGATCCTGTCCCTCCACCAAGCATCAA